GGAATCGTGTATCTGCGAAGATCATCAAGGACGAGCCGACTGATGCTCTAGTTCCTGTCGAATCTCCTCCTGACCCCGGCTGGCAGAACCCGGCTGAGCTCGACTACATGGACGCAAGCACAATGTCCAAGGCCGCAATCGTCGAGTATCTCATCACACACTCCTTCTCCGTCCCCGCGAAGCGCAACATGTGGGTGACCATCACCTCCGCAGATGGAACAACGACCGTGATACCCGGCGGGTACCGTATTCCCCTCCTCTTCGCCGCCCACTTCCAATGGACCTCCCTTCGCCTCGTTTTGGACTCGGGGGAATGGAATCAATTTAATTCCGGGATTCTCCATATCTCCCGAATGTGTGATAGATTTTTGGAAGAAGCAAGGCGCGCTATGAAGGGTGGGATAGTGAAGGGGTGGAGATGTCAGACTTTTGATAGGTTGCTGGTGAGGTACCGTTTGCATCATCTCTTATCTGATCCGGCTAGCGTGAAGGAATTTGATGAGGCGTATGGGGAAGTAGAATATGCCAACGACGCGGTGAAGTTTGGTATGTGTTTCGTCTCAGCTTGATTTTTTCTTATAAGCTGATTGCCGGGAGACTGGAAACGCTGGGCCTTGAAAGGACATAAGGGCTTCCGGCTTTTGGAGGAAGACATCAACGACGGGGTAGAGCTGGGTAGGTGGCTAGAAGGGCTCAAGGAACGCGACGGGGACTGGGTCTGGGATACGTCACCAGACGCCTCGGGCCGGCGCGCCATGGATTATCTCGAAGAATGGAAGAAGACAAAACTCTGGACAGCTCCGCCGCCTCCGTTGCTTGTTGGAAATCCTGATCCTACTCCCCCCAATGACGTCGTCCCTCCTCCCGATTATTCTATTTCACACCCCCCTCCTCCAGACGACGACCTCCTTGAGTTCCTTAAAACTCGCACAGAAGAGATCAAAAATCAAGAACGTCGCATCGCTGCTCTCGAGGCCGACCTAGCCATGCTAAAGACGACGAGGTCCAGTGTTACGCCAATGCCCGTGGAAGACGTCGAACCAGAGTTCATCCCAATGGAGAACTTTCCTGACATTGCGGACGTCGACTGCGCGTCGAGTTTCTGGCAAGACCCTTTGAAGAGGTTTTTGGATATGCCAGATGTCGAGGCGGCAAAAGTGGAGGACATGGATGTAGATGTAGTTATGGAGGACGCCTCCCTGTCGGTTGGGCCAGTCAAATCGTGGCGGAAAATTCAGAGGATGGGTGGGTGAGCGGCTTGTCATTGTTATCGGTATCATTATAGATTGTTGTACTACACTCCGTTTCTTATGTATTCCCTTGCATGATTTTAGCAGTAATCCTTCTGAGAACAATAACTTGGGATGTACAATGCCAGAGCCTTAGACCTTAAACCAGCGACAAGAATACGGACGAGAGCGGAACATTGGAACTGCAGCAGAAGCACTCACCGTGTGAACGATAATCTGGGAAATTAGTGGCACAATCCGACGAGTAACGCATGAGCCACAAGATCAGAAAGCCCTGGGAATGTACTAGTTGTCGTGTCCGCCACCGAAGACGAATGGGTTACTATCGTAGGGCAAACAGAGCGGACCCTTCCCACAGTGATGTTCCCCCTTCCCAACAGCTAGGAAATGATCAGAGGAATTTACAAAGCCAATCCTTTAGGAACTCAGGTGTCTGTATGTGGACGATGTGGTAAGCACCTGCAGGGATATGGTCCATGCGTGGAATGCTTGAGATGGTGGCTGGACCGTTCGGCGGTTGAAAGATGATCCCGGTAAAGTAGCGCATCCGACAAGCGAAAAGTAGACGATCCCAAGCCTAGTACCAAGAACAGACAGATAAGTATAAACAGGATTCATCTGGAAACTCATCCATATCCTTGACGACGTTATACGTCCGATAGGGCATTATGATCAAATACGCTCAGGGTATAGGATCTCCATTACCAGCAGTGCCCATCTTTTTTATGAGAAAATATTGAGCCCAGATTCAGAGCCTTATTCTAGGGACAATTTCTCTCACTAGGAAAACGCCGCTCACCCCGGTACGAGGGGAGCATTCCACCATTCATCAAGTCAAGGAGACAGATTTCGATCATATCGAAGTCTAGTGTCGATCACACCCGATCAAGAACTCTTCCTCCCCACACCATCTACCAATAGCAATACCATCACAATAACACTTAATTCTGGCATTCAGTACGTTTAAAATTCCTATAGGTGAAGATGAGGCGGACTAGACACTGCTACTCTCTTTCAGCACAATAAGAGTCGAAACATGAATTAATCAAGATGATGATAGCAACAGGGACAAATGAAGGAACGATGCTCGCTGTTTCCTCGGTGATGGCATTCATTTCCGAGTATATAGCTTGTCTAGCAGCGCATCGATCCTCGTCAGGTCTTTCTCCGTGATATCCTTATAGGTCATGTCCCCTAGTTTGAAGACTACGAACGTCCCAGGCTGTGAATCCGAGTACCACACATGGTATATATTCCCGAGCACGTGGAAGTTTGTCAGTTGATATCGTGTAGTGTGGGGTTTAGGGTATGGATAGCTGGTGTGGTGGTAGCCACATCGAAACGGCAGTTTCTGACAAGAGCCTGGCCCGTGTAGACGTTGTTAGGGTGATAACAAATTGAGCAAACTTGGGACTCACGGTTGGGGAGGAATTCGTATGCGTAGATGTCGATCGTCTTGTTCAAGGGAGTGGTCATGATTGTTTCTGAATAGTGAGAGAGGAGTGCTGCGAAGGTTGCTCAGGCGAGGTCTTTATAGGGAACATCGGTGGCAAGACAACGTGCTTCGACTCGGATTGTATCATTGATGACAAAAAGAAAAAAGGGCATTCGCCGGTCCCAAATAGTCCCACATCCACACACAAAGGGCCGTTCATTAATGACATCTACCATTGTAGAAAATGCGGCGATGGGAGTAAAGTAACAAGAGGAACAATGTGCACAGCCACCTGAAAATCAGCTTGCCTGATCGGGGTTTCTCTCTTCCCCCGGCGTGCCCAACAAAACGGAAGTCTGATCAGCCATCAATTGGTTCTATTAAAGCTATCGATGTATCCAAACATTCGCGATGATATGAGCAGATTTCGCACAAGAGTACATTAGGTTTATACCGGGAAGGAAAAGATTGCCTCAGCTTTTCCCCTGCCCGCACCAGCGTCCTGATGATGCCCCCAGAAATTCAAGCCCTTGTGCTCGGTTTCGTTCTTCATCTCAATTTTTTGAAAAAAACGCAATGGAGTCGAGGCCTGAATCTGATTGTGTTGCTTAACAACAGATGAAGACCTGCATGTACTCCCAGGACATTTCAGGATCCTTGCGAAATCCTCTGATATTGACATAATATTACTGACATTCTCTGCAGAATGTCGCCTACGTACATACCATATCACCTTTCTCTGTCTTAGTTAGCATTTCCCTCTGATCCATTGTTCAAAGCACACCCTTGACCCTGAAGGGCTCAGATACCTTTTGCTGGGATGCAAGTTCCACAAATACTGAGAAAAGAAAGGTCGATACGTTTTGGATACGTTACCAGATAAGGAAAGTCGACTTTGTTTGGACTGTGTATCATTGCTGATGCAAGATTTTCAGAAGTCATCGGAGGATGTCCCTTATACCATGTGTAGTCACCAGCTGACAGAATTGAAATGGTCGCAGTCAAGACTCAATACTCTGGTGTATGAACTGTGAAAAAAATTTCAGCTTCAAACGCTGTACATACGTCTTTTTTAAGCAGCGACGACGCCTAGTATGAGCTAGCATCAATGATCAGGATAGGGCTGCGCACGAAACCTCCAAGGGGTGTACGATACCGTTTCATACCCACGGGGGTTTCTACTATCTAGGTGTTTCTTACGGGTCACATGACTCTTTCACGTGACTATCGCGGAGCAATTTTTCCAAATTCTTCTACGCTGCACTGTGACCTGTTGCGTCGTCTCAGCTCAGATCCTAATGAATTCTGTCCTGACACCAATCAGAACTCTCTGGACATCTTCTTACATCTTCAAACTTATCTCAGTCTGTGATCTCTTCTCCCCTATCCAAAATCAGCCAGATCCTGTCATTTATTAAAGTTAATAAGGATTCTGTGGATGCCTTAGTAGATCTCGGATTCATTCACATTTTCAAAACATCGTTAACCACACTCAGGATCAGTATGCAAGACCACGATTTCTCTCTAAGTGTTGCTGTATCTGCTGGTAGCAACATCATTTTATAATTTCAGGTATAGGACTATTGTTCTCCAAGGAATTGACAAGCTCATTGTCAGAAAGAGGTGCCATGGTTTGAGCTGCTACTGCTCTCCAAAATTTGGCAGTGGCAGTATCACGTGGGTGGTAAGTTACCTGAAAAAAAAAACCCTCCACTAGGGTTGCGCACGAAACCCCCAGTTGTGATACACCCCGGTTTCGGACCGGTAAGTTACCGGTAAGAAACTGGTAAGAAACCACAGGTCAGTGGAGCATATTTCATCGAGGTAACTTACCGACCACATGACAATATTACCACCAAAGTTTTTGTGATTTCACTTCACAGAGCAGGAAGAAGTAAGAAGATATATCTCGAGAGTTCTGATGGATATTGGAGCAGAATTCATGAATATTTGAGGTATGACAATGGGGCAGCGCAGCGTCACGGCGTCGTACAGAAGAATTTGGAAAGATGGCTCTGTGACGGTCACGTGAATAATCCCGTGACTGGTAAGAAACGGTAAATTACTGTATCGGTAAGAAACCCCCCCAGGTAGGGTGGGTACAAAACAGTATCAAACCCCCCTTGGAGGTTTCGTGCGCAGCCCTACCCTCCACCGACCTGTGGTATTTTACCAGTCCAAAACTAGGGTGTATCAAAACTGGGGGCTTCGTGCGCAACCCAGGTCCTAGATCAGGAGTCAGCTGAGACACCGCTTTTCCGCCCTCGCCACCAAAAGCGTAAGAGGCGCGACCTAAATTCAAACATGATACCCTACTGCCCCAGAGAGGCTCGAACTCTCGACCTTCCGATAGCTCTTAACAGTCGGACGCTGTAACCAACTCAGCCATGGGGCACATAATCAATGTTGAATTTACCATTTCTCTCTCTCTCAAGCAAGGTATATATTCATGACATTTACATTGTATAGTATATATTGGCACCCTGTGCATCTAACTAAAGCTACAGAAGAAGCCTAAGTGCGCGTCCGTGAAAAAAAAACTCGTCAGCTACTAGTCTATATTTTACGATCGGCCAAGCTCAAGCGCGCTATCGTTCTTCTCTGCGTCTGCAGCACTGCGGTCTCTTCCCATAGTCCGCCCAATCAACACTCCAGGATGCGCAAAGTTTAGCGTGTAAATAGCCAGCACCACCATGGCCCCATCCAGAACGTCTGAGAGTCACAATAATCAGTCAAGAAGCCAGGAATTGATCGAAATGGTGCGACATACTGAAGTAAACCTCTGTGAGAATGATCCTTCCGTTCCATCCATCGGCGAGTTCTATCGTCCTGTATATTGAACTGCGAATAGATAGACATAAGGCCCTGACACAACATTTACGAGAGCCAATGACGCATACCGAATGAATAGGCACAAAGTGTTAAATACCAGGGCGAAGAGCATCATTTTTATTTTCGTATCCAAGACTCCACGGGGGAGATTGGGTGAGGAGAGGGTAACCAGGGAGTCGTTCCGCTTCTTGCGCGCGAATAGTCTTGCAACGGGACGGTTATGCGTGTAGCGGACGAAGAATTCGCAAGCGAGGATGGCATAGAACGTGATGACCACTACCAACCCGATAAATCAAGATACGATCGAAGAGAACGGAGGTACCTACCGAGCTGAAATACAATACCGGCGAGCATGACATTGCTGCCCTGTAGAACACCGTTAGATGAGCACATTATAAGACAAAAAATGACCTTACTAGCTTAGCACCTTTTAGATCATTACGGTCAGAAGCGGATGAGGCGATGCCACCACCTCCGCCTTGTATCACGAGCGATAGAATATCCTGGGATCGATAAAATAAACACATGGAGCGATTTTGGCTATTTACATGTACTCACACAGCTGACGAATATTATAGAATCTAAGCCGTGGACATCATGAGTGAGGTGGAATAGCTACGCAAAAGAAGTACTCACATGCCCTTGGGCTCAATCTACTGTATGCAGGTCCAAGGATGCGAATTATGGCGCCAAGAATGATAAAATTAGCGGCGACGAGTGGTGTGGGCCCGATGATTGTAGCTGTTATTCTATTCCGACGATTAGATCAGAGTGAGATGCGAGTGAAAAGTAGAGACTCACTGGATCATGAAAGGATTACTTAGAGACGGAGAGATACTCGACCAAAACCTCCCGCTCCATCCCAAGATCTCGAGACACCCGGCGAGGATGATAGTCGGGAACGCCCACCACATGCGGAAATAGATGCTCTGAGCCGTGTGGGTCACTGATAATGTTTAGCACCAAGGATACTGAATTCTGGGGAGTGAAAATGTTTACGGGTGGATATTCCGAATAGGATAATGAACGTGAGGGCAATGCCTTTCGATGGGGTGTATCCATAGGGAGAGTCTTCTCGGTCTACGTCAGCAGCAAGAGTTTGTACTGGATGACAAAGAAAATTAGTCACAAGCGCGAGCGCTTTGTCAAAACGCGCACCATATTCTAATAGGGACATGTTCGTAAAACTTTCGACGATGAGAAAGGAATGATGCTGGTAAAAATTAAGCGCGCTTTATGTATGACTCAGAAATTACGATAGACATCTTCGGAACGTCGGTTATCCCTGTTAGGAGGTCCCGTATAGCCATGGAGGACCTTGGCATACGTTTCAACGTGGAGCAAACAGACCGTATCCCGACTGAAATTGTATGTGACGATGAAATTCTTCCTATTCTGGAAATTGTTTCACAGATCCAGTATGCCGAAGGGACACCTCATTAACATCCGATCTGTAGATAAGCAACGAACGTTGATCAGTATCAATCAGGGCGACTGCGCAAGGACACTGCCAAGCTGCCCACGAACGACAGAGCGAGGACCGCAGCACATAGCGATGCAGCAAGGATATTGATTCAAGGACCGTGGGGAACCCAGACGTCGTACTAGCCAACACTGAAGACGCTTGAAGCGATGCTGGAGAGACGGAGTGCCCTGGCTGCGTAAGGCAGGGCCCTTAGTCTTGGGTTTACGTTCGTACCTGCCCTTGTGGCGAACACTGGCGACCGCAATGAAGGGGAAGCGGTGTGCAGATGATGGAGGGCGCTATTCTTGCCAATAGTGGCAAGGTATTTCTTTAAGTATTTTCATACTACGCCCTGGAGAGTAGCTGACCCATATTGGGAAGGTAGTTCCGTGGAGGCACAGAGAGAATCTATATAATAATAGAGGTGGCAAGCGCCCAATCATATTTGATTATGTAAAATTAGCGGACTTTCAAATGTCCACCTCTCTTCTGTACGCACTGCCACGACCGGCTATTGAGTGACCGGTCCTGCCAGCACGACTGGGACCTGCCTTTTCCGGCATCTGGCTCTTTCCAACACCAAGGGAGGAAAAATGTTGGTATGCAGATTATTGCAGAAGCTGTTTGTGCTTAGGAAAAATTGTATTAAAATGTACTTCCATAATATTAGCTATTATTTTGAAGGATGGTTGAACAAGTAACTCCTGCAATGACACAATATGCAGCATTGAGCATTTGAAAAGGGACATCAGGGGTCTTAGGGCTGCATGCCATAACTATATTGTAGAAGAATACAGTGTCCATGAGTGTCTACAGCCATGTCAAGTTATTTGTAGCTGCTTACCAAGTACCAATAAATATGGCATTATATATGACCATCACAACTGTAATTATACAGCCCAAAGCTGTTAATCTCCTTCAAGGGTTATATGGTTTATGGAGAGGGTGTGGAGCCTTAAGGGACATTTCTGTCAGAGCTTCTTTGTCAAAATACTACTGTTATTTGGGATGATATTCTAATACAGAATTGCTCTGATATTGAAACTGTTGAACATGTTAGAATAGAAACAGCTATAAGAGTGTAGCATAAGAAATATGTAAGGGATAGGAAATAGGGTGGTATACACACCTCAGTCAGTCATGTAGTCATTGTGAACAGCTGAGGTGCAGTAAGGGGAATATAGGTAGATATAGGTGGATACTATATATAGGAGAAATAATCTAAATATAGTAAGTATGTTTGGTCAACTATATGAAACATTGGTGCGGTGGGGTATGTGATAGGCTGAATATCTGACAGAACACTATGTAATATTCACAATAAGGCTTTGCACCATTTCTGTATGGTACTATTATCTATCTATACTACTGTCAGAGGGTTCCATCGATTTGGATCATGTCAGTCTTTTACAACTACTTTAAAATAGACAAATATATGTACTTCAGCTGGCACAAGAGAGATATAAAGGACTAAGGTATCTGGGTAACTACAGCAATGCTATATAATGATAGACTGGAGGTATGGTAAGAAAGAATGAGCATTGATGAATAAAGAAACAGTATCATGTATGGATAATATCTCCAATATATTGCATTTTCATGTCATCAATTTAATACAAAGAAAATATAATCAGTAAACGTGGTCAGGCACAATATGAGTAAAACAATTGTATTAAATCAATGGTACCAAATCATATAAGGAGAGTATAATCAGTAAACTAAGGAGTGATGTAACTAATGAGTAGAGCAATAGGTGTAAGGTATATGTACCTCAGTAAGGCACACTGGGTGAAATGACTGAGCAACAATGGTATCTATGGCTGACTTATATATGATCCGAACAAAGGAGTGTGTTACTGTGTAGATATATGACATGAACCATACATCTCCTTCAACACACTTCCAGTCAGGCTGACATTTTCAATAACAATCAATGAGTCTCAAGGCCAGTCAGCCACCTATGTGGGTTTATGATGTGTCCTTCTGAAACCTGTTTTTTTCACATGGATGACTCTATGCAGCACTTAGCCACTGCACTTTTAGACAAGTTTTCTTTCCAGATGCAAAAAGGTACAAATACTTTGAACATTGTATATTTTGAAGTTCTATTAGGAGTAATAAGCTGGGTTTGGGGCAGGCCCCAACAAGCTGAAGTCCCATGTCGCAGTCAGGTTGCTGGGTCCCGAGGTATGAGGGCCCAGCAATCATGACAAAGACATGGGACGGAAGCTTGTATAATAATAGAGGTGGCAAGCGCCCAATCATATTTGATTATGTAAAATTAGTGGACTTTCAATTTTCAGTCTTTTCCCTATGAGCACTGCCACAACCGGTTATTGCATGCCCGGTGCTGTGCGCACTGCCACAGCCTGAGCCATGCTGCACCCATGCTTTTTCAGCACTTCCCTCCTTTCCTTCACTGCTTTCGTATATCTGGCGAGCTTCTGTTAGGCCCGAGCACCACGAGGTCCAAACAGGTATAAACTTAGGGCTGTCTCATGTTCGGACAATCACCCAAAGAGTTACCGAAGTGTCTAGACGTGGGCTGATCCTTGGGGTTAACTTTTTGGCTAAGCAAGTCAACAAGGATAGTTTGGATATAGATAAACTTTAGCTCGAAGCTGGAGTATACTACAGCGAGAGCTACTACTTATATACTGAAACGGTTAGGCTAAAACGATGGTTCCGGATGACAATAGAAGTCCATTACTAAGCGGAATCCGGGACAAATGAGTAAGCAGGATTGCATAACGTGAGAAAAGAAGTGAAAAAGTGAATAAATCGTAACATTACCCTCTCATTAAGGCAGTCGTCCTGACTGCCATTATGCTAGGTCAGGATCCAGTGGCTCTTCTAACAGCGAGAGGTGGTATTTTTCCCAGTAGGGCTCTAGCAAGTAACTCCATTTCTTTTCGTCGGGATTTTTGATCCAGAATTTCCTTCCATCGGTGCGTTGGACTTGGTATAAAGTCGCCCCATCCTTCTGGTAATGGTCATCCAGAATTGCTACCACGACCTTTTGCTCTTTCGTGGTTATGGCGTGGATTATTGTGGTTCGCTGGGTCTGTTCAATCTCCTTCTCGTAGTCCTTGATTGCG